AAACGTTTTCGGGCGGAGATATGCCAAATCTGGTTCCCAATCGGGAGCTTAGTCAAGATGAGTTTCTACAGCGACTTCAACTGGGTGAAAGGTATGTATAAACATTGATTAGTATTTAGATACTAAAGTCTTTTTCCTTTTGCTTGCTAGGCTCAAAAAACCAGATTTGTGTCCACAAATCGTATACGACAAACTTATGCTGCCATGCTGGCAAGCTGATCCAAAGGCGCGGCCTACTTTTACGGCGTTGCTTGACTCTATTCGGTCAATTATGTTCGAAGGGGCAGCCATTTAACGTGCAAAATTTAAAAAAAAAATTATTACGGTAAAGCTATAATATAGTGCGTTCTAGTATTCGCGAGAAAATGACTCAATTGCACTCTATCGCCCAAAATCATATAAACTAAAATATATTTGAAATGCTCTATAAACTGAAAAATAGTATTAACCTGTCACTTTATAAAGCCTTTTAAATTTATTTTATTTTGAATGAATGAGGCCATACTTAAACGTAATAGTACACATAGAACGTTTTTATTACTTTCTTTTGGCAGCATATGTATGTATATCGTTATCATCAAAAACAAAAGGCCCTACCTATTTGATATGATTTCAGAAATCAGATTTCAAAATATTTCCTTAGTTGGCTATATATCTTGGCTATGGTCAGATATACCCCTTCACCAAAATTTATGCTGTGTGTGGAAATTTAAAATGTTTTTTGTAAAGTTGTAAATCTATGAGTTTTATTATAGATACAAAAAGATCCTTTCAAAGCGAAGCATACAACTTTGCTTCTTTCATTTCTTGAACCATCCCATTTTCTCCTAACTAAAATTATCATAGACTTCCTTTGATTTCGAATTGCGATTATATATTGCTGCCGCAGAACTTATTGGACTTTCACTGCAAAGAAATAGGCAGACAAACTATTTTTGGAAACTATTCGTTTTTAATTGTACTTGTTTCCTGTATATCAAAATAAAAGTTTTCATAAAATGTGCAGCAAAACGGAACCTTCGTTATCCAATGTATTTTCCCTTCGTTATGAATTCGAAATCCAGCCCATTCTCGAATTTAAATTTTAATGAGATTGGTTTAAATTTTTTTTCGAACCCATTTCGAGTGTATTTCCAATATACTATGAACGTTGGAAAACTAAGGTTGGGTTTGAGTTCGTTCTCAGTAAGATATGCATATTCGGTACCTATGTGCATACAAATACATTTCGCTGTTTTATGTATTCCCCAAAGAATTTTTTGGGAGTGTTGCTGGAGTGACAGTCCTTGGTCAAATATAAATCTGGGCCGTAACCGGTACTTAGACCCAACTGTCGTGGGAACGAATACATATCGCTCATTTACTTCAAACGTGAAAAGTAACGCTGCCTTATTAATTGCAGCTCGAATACACCCTAAGTCCTTATATTTTATCTTTCATTTCTTACTTCGGTACAACGCCGATTTATTAAGAACTGCCATGATTTTCTTACTATTACAGAAGTTTTTATTTTTATGAAAAATTTTAAAGCTTTGATTTCCCAATGAAATAATGCGCACTTTTTCCTACTTTCTACAGAAAATCTCACGGACCATATGCAATTTACAAATGCAAGTAATTTACTTTGTCTATTAAATATGGTACTTGCACCTCGGCCCAGCCAATTTATGTACATACATACATATTAATTAATTTACTTATAAGTTTTTAAGTCAAAACTGAAAAGGAAATTAGGTGTTACTTTGGTATATATACATATTATATGTAGGTAGTTAAGATTTGCATTTTTAGAAAAGTGTAAGTAAGTGCATTCATACATATATGAGGCCATGAGAGCAGAAGTGGCCTAACCCAAAAATTTTTTTTATATTCTCCCCTACTTAAAATAGTCTCAAACCAGATAAATTTTAAAATTTATGTCATCTATTCTTTTATTTTAAGGGCTTCATCAAATAAACAAATAAGCGGCCTTTACTTTAAAATTTATCACATTTGAAACTATTTAAAGAAGTTACGTTACCTACATGAAAAAAAAATTCCAGGTTAGGCCACTTTTGCTCTCATTGCCTCAATATGTATGTATACGTATGTACAATGTTGTGTCTTAGTTTCTTTAGAATTCATATGGTTATATTTACGTTACAATTATACTAGAACTTTGTTTTAGAGTAAAGTATATTTTAAGAACGCCATATCTAAGCTTTTGTGAATTTTTCCTTCGATTAAAATTAAAATGTTTGGAATAAAACCTTCACGAGTATAAATACAATTCTTTTGTTATTTAGTTGGAACCGTACATTAAACTGGGTCGACTTTGTTTGGGGGAAAATACAAGTTTTTGATGACACACTGTAGTTGTGATATTATTTGCTTAACGAGGAATTTACACTACATATATTTTGATGGGCTTCCAAAGCATGTGATCCTTGTTTATATATTTTCATAAACTTTTTTTATATCACTGCACTTCCATTCTAATATTTAAGCTCTTTTGATTTCTATAATACAACGTTAAACGAAAAGGAGAATTTACCTTTTTTGCCACACCAACGACAATAACAATTACATTTAATTTATAACTACCCAGTAGATAATTTCAGATGTTAAAAGCCCTTCCGAAAGGCCTGCCTGAGAGTGAAGAGGCCTTCCACCCTACATTCCTTTCTTTTTCGTACGGAGTTGCACAAATTGAAGGACTTCTTCTTTCGCTACCCATGGTAGGCCTTTCAAAAGGGCTTTTATAGGACGTACTTCAGAAGGCCTTTTGGAGGAGTTCTTTTAAAGTTGCTTCTTTAATTTATAAAAATCATACATCTTTGAATTATCTGCTTAAGATTTATATCAGATATGTGTTATTGTAGCTTAATAGGGGTCTTCATCAAAAGTGATAAATTCTTGATAAACTTGATAAAGAGATAAATTTATCATTTTGATAAATGAACTGTCAAACTTTGTATGGAAATCTATTTAACCAAAGTTTATCACTTGAGGCTTGTTCGAGTTACAATCACAGCCGCAGTGTTGCGAGAATTATTTTTTTTGTGTGAATTTCCAACAACGTATTATCAGTTGGGCAGTTGCAACAGTGTTCCAAATTTTAGATGAAGACCCCTAATATGTTTGTTGAAATTCATTTGTAATGCTAAATAATATAAATTTATGCATTCTAGAAGGCATGCTAGGAAGCACTTTTTTCAGCCCTCATTTGAGCATAGAAAAGTGAAAAGAGAGTTAATATGCTTGTTTACATTTTACACTATAGTTGAATCTTTTTGAGGAACGATTATCCAGTAACTGGCCAGCTACTCTCCAGTAACTTAATTTCTAAGAATTCGCTCTCGGAAAAAATATCCAAAAAAGTACGCGAACCCAAATCTAGTAAAAGTGCAAGTTTCACGAACAGCTGATAAATTGGTTGTTTATTCGCAGCAAATTCCTAATAAAACAATATATTTTATATTTAAATAGGTTTATTTCGTCAGTTTCAACCATAAAAACCCACAAACAATTTCATTATTAGTTTAAACTCTATCCATCAACATGCGACCAGTTGTTTTCGTACTGGCAAATTGTTACAAGTAAAAATAACTTAATTTCTAAGAATTCGCTCTCATAAAAAAAATATCCAAAAAAGTACGCGTACCTGAATCCAGTAATAGTGTGCAGGTATCATGAACATCTGATAAATTGGTTGCTTATTCGCAGCTAATCAAGACTTGACGTGTCTGAAAGGGGTCTTAGTGGATATTTTTTGCTGGAGAATTCGAAAACACAACTATTGTGAAAAATTCTCTGTACGTAAACTTTTGTGGTTGACTGTTTTGATTAAATATAATGCCCTTTTGCGTTAGCCCCTCCACAACATGAGCACGATCCTATCTATGCAGATTGGAATAGACTGTTTCATCCCCACAACCCCCCCGCACCCCTTTCCTTATTGTTTTTTTTATGAAGATCCCTCGGCGTTCTTCTTTTTCAGTACCTCCATGACACCCGCAAAATTTGCAATTTTCTTTTTCGTAGATTTTGGCGTCGAATTTTGACTTCTTACTCGCATTTGAGGCTGGGCTATATCGTCGCTAAAGTCAAAATCATTTTTAGCGGCCGGCCTAAAAAAAAAACTTATTTAGTGAACACTTCATGTACATATGTATATTTCCAAGCTTTCCTGCTAGCTTACTCTGTTTCAGCATTTGTAGTTGTGGCAGGTTCGATTTTGGACGTTGACCCAGTAGTTTCCGTATTTATTGTTTGGCGGCCGGGAAATTGCCACTGTAGCTCCGGAATAGTGCCTTTCTCCAGCATCAAATAGAGGCTTTCCAATTCTTCTGCTCCTGGTATGAAGTATTCTTCATTATTCGAGTTATGACACTCCGGATCATTGGTATCTTCGCCCGTCATGTGTTGATGCTATAACCTAGAATGTCCTCAAAATATAAGTTATAGGTATTGTGACGAACTTTTGTTAAGTAGCTGATTCACGGCGAATTAAATTTAATTAATAATTTATTAATTCTTCTTAGCTGATATGTTTTTTTTTGTGTAAATAAATAATAGAGATGCGCGGCGCTAACCGATGCATCGGATACATCGATGTTTCCAATAATAGTGGCAAACTATCAATACTATCGATGGTTTTGTTTTTTTCACTATCGATAGTTTTTCAAAACTATGCATTTTCACTATCGAAAATTTTGCAAATTTAAAACACAAAAAGGGTGAATGTGCATTGTATAATGGACTGTTTTTATCGCATTTAGCTCTAAACATATTTGCGTATTCTGCTTTCTAAAAACAATTATCTTTATTTAAGAAACATAGCATGGCAACATTTTTGGGTTTTAGCAGCGACCTTTTTTCGTCATGGTCGTCCGATTCTACTGATGACGTCAGGCCAACATAGTAGTTCTTTTATATAAAAGTATTACCGTTTTATCAGCGTTTTTACTGCATTTAAAATGCTACATTTAGCCCTTTCGAACATTTTTTTGAAGAGCGTTCATGCTATCGCATTTAGCAAGTGTACATTTACGCGAGTTCGAAATCGTATACTCATGCCGTGTTCGATGTTGAAATTGAACAACTGTTCTTTTTCTAAATAATGAACAAACACATGATTTTGACGTAATGCTCTCCATGGCGAAAAACTCAGCTGCCGCCCCAACACCACCTTGTTAAATACACCTTGCTAATTTCCATTTCGATGCATCGAATAAATCGGGCAATTTTTAAACATTTTTCAATAGAGGCATTCACGATCCGGTTCATACTGTCTAACATGGGACATGGACATGAACGAAAGACACAAGATCACGCCTTAGGGAAAGAAAGAAAAAAATTTATTTTCTAGTCCAACTGTTGAGCTGAACGGAACTACTCAACTGTGCGTTTCTAAGACAAATAGTCAAAGGTTAAGCAACAGCTACGTCTTATGAACACGCCCACTACAATATTCATCAAAATACTACGTAACCGCAGAACTCCACAGGCAAACACCGATGGCCTAACAACTGTCATTTTGACGACGAGCAATATGATTGCAAGTTTTTGTGTGTGGAGACAGGGCCTAAGCAACCTAGTATATTTTGTTGAAAGAATACAATTTTCCGAAGGTTGTAATTTTGTGGTATTCTCATTGTGAATGGGCATTTTGCACTGAACATACCCAAAAATGGCAGATGTCAGCTGCTCATTTATCAAAAAATCATTGAAATTTTCGGGCGATTGAAGCCAAAAGTTTATACCGCAACTTTTGATGCAATATATAAGCAATTTTTGTATTATTTTTGCATTTTTTTTACATATGATTTGACACTGAAATACTAAGTTAATGTGTGTCACTATGCTGATATTTTAAATACCACAATAAATTTACCAGAATGCAATACCATTAGCTCGTTTTTGCAACTCTTCTCTACCGATTATTTCTCTACTGGTAGAGAATATACGTCATTCTCGACTGCTCATTAGCAGTAGAGACCAAGGCGACGAATTCATATATGAATTCGCCTTGGTAGAGAAACGAGCTACAGATATCTGTCCCCGGTATTACTCTCCCGAATTTCACATCAACCAGCGTAATCTTGTATTCTACCGGTCTTGTAGTTAACCACAAAAACTTCACTATGTGGCAGCACCACAATAAGCTGTCAGCTCGCAGCAACCACAGCCAACATCAACTGTCGTATTAATTTTTATATGCGAGCTTACTTGTGCACAAGGGTATTTTAACTTTGTTAACATAACGGTGTTGTAACAGGCAAAACGATTCGAGATAGATATAGACAAATATATATGTACATAAATGATCGGAATTAAAAAAGAAATCGATTAAGCGGTGTCTGTCTGTCCGTCCGTCCGTTCAAATCCACCCCTGCTTACCACGGAAAGGTGGAAAAACTATATAGAATACTTACGCCGGGTATTGTAATGTTCGGCTCCTCCTGGACTTAGGGTCGGTTACTCAATGTCTGGTTAACACTGGTTTGCGGTTAAACATCGTTATCGCCGTCTTGGACTCCATGCATACGATAACGTCCATGCATCGTCGATAACGATGTTTAACCGCAGATTAGTGTTAACCAGACATTGAGTAACCGGCCCTTAGACTGTTTTACTTGTTATGTATATGTAGATTAGTCTTTTTAACCGAGAGAAGACACAAGCTCTAGTTTGCTAATATTCGGTTCTGACAGTCTGATAATTCGATATTTGTCTTTTAATTTGTCGTGTATTTTAATTTGTTAAATGTAACCAGTTCAGTACTTATTGTTAATTTAACTTCAAATTAAAAGTAACCAAGTTTTTTTACGTATATTTTTTAATTTAAGTAAGTGTTTTTAAATTGAAAATTAAATAAGCAAATTTATATAGGAAATAGGAAAAAAAAGGGAATTTTAAAGACCGAAGTAGGGAATTCCGAAAAAAAATTCTGGCATCACTGACTGTGGCGCTTGTCGATCAGCTGTATTGCGACCTGACGTTTTACTAACATTTTTAA